AGAAGAAGAAGAAGAAGAAGAAGAAGAAGAAGAAGAAGAAGAAGAAGAAGAAGAAGAAGAAGAAGAAGAAGAAGAAGAAGAAGAAGAAGAAGAAGAAGGAGAAGATTATCTTTGCATACTGCGAAGGAACTGTCACTCTTTGAACAGGATGTATGTTCAGCTTGCCAGGTGGTAAATTATTAAATGTTAAGGCTATGTAAAGCTTTGAGTCAAAATTCAATTAGAAGGTGATTTGATTGCATCCCACCATTAAAGGGCCAAACTGAATTGAATCAGTGCATTGAATCATGAGCCTTGCAGTCAATTTTTTTTATTCAATGGATTTTTGCCCATACGCTCAAATATTGTTTATTAAATCAAATCGACAGAATCAAATCTGCTTAATGCAACATTTTTGAATCAATTTTACAAATTAGAGTTTAAGTGACTTAATGAACTATTTCTTTTCTTAGGGAGTTTTATATTTAAAACAAAAACGAACTGAGCAGGCTTTCAGTTTAAGCAGGCTTTCCAAACTTGGATGCTCTTCAAACATGTGAACTTCGACTCCCAGAATTCTTTGCAAGGGCTCTCTCAGAATTCTGTGAGCCACGTGATTTGAAGTTACTCAAACTGATGATGGCAGAAATACAGCATATAGTTCAGTGATGGCGAATCTTTTCGCCACTTAGTGCCAAAAAGGTCACGCAGAAACATTGCATGGGTGTGGGCACGCTCGTTAGGGCCGTGCTCCGGAAAAGCCAAACTTTTGGGTTCTAGCGCGCATGCCCGCCTGACATCAGCTGGCTGGTGCGCATACGGAGGCTGGTTTTTAGCACTTCTGCACACACGAAGGACAGCTGATCATTGGGCATGCACACACACCAAAAACTCGGAAGACAAATAGGCAAGGCCGCGCATGCCGGGTGACACGGCTCCGTGTGCCACTTTGGGCACGTGTGCCGTAAGTTCGCCATCATGGGTATAGTTAAATAGAGCTTCGTCTTCTGTAACATTAGATACTCTAAAAATTATGCACAAAATAGATACAAAGTAGCCCTTTCATTGTTTCCCAAATTTACATTTCCTTCCATAGGGAGAAGGGGGACAAGAAGCAGCCTCCATTAAAGCCAAGAAACTTGTTCAGATTTTGCCACTCTTGAGTGAATTGTACACATTCTAAGGATTTTTATTTTATTTTATATGTTTTGATTGATTTGATTTGATTTCTACAACTGCTCATCTCAGCAAACAACTGGGTGGCTCACAATTGAAAGCATACCATATTTTTTGGAGTATAAGATGCACCTTTTTCCCTCAAAAAAGAGGCTGAAAATCTGGGTGCGTCTAATACACTGAATATAGCATTTTTTGCCTCCCAAAACCCTGCCCCTTCACCAAAATGGCTGGGCATAGCTTTTAGGAGGCTTTCAGAGACCTCCTGGGGGCTGGGGAGGGCAGAAATGAGCGAAAAATGGTCCATTTTTTGCTCGTTTTTGTCTCCTCCACTCCCCCAGGAGCACTCTACAAGCCTCCTAAAGGCTATGCATGCCCTTTTTTGCGGGGAAAAAAAAGACCCGTTTTCGCGAAAAACGGGCCTTTTTGGGGAGGTTTGCAGAGTGCAAAACCTTTTTTTTAAAATTTGCCTCTTCAAAACCTTGGTGTGTCTTATACTCTGAAAAATATGGTATATTACAAGTAAAAAATTTAAAAAAATTAAAAACAATTTAAAAAACAGTAAAAAATATAAAAAATGTTTAATTGGAAGTACCGTATTTTTTTGGAGTATGAGAAACATCTTAATTTTGGGGGAGGAAAATAGGAGGAAAAAAAAATCTACCTACCAGGTATTCATCTGGCTAGTATCCTTAGTCTGGTTAGCTTCAGCACCAGAGGTGGGTTCCTACCAGTTCGCACCAGTTCGGTAGAACCGGTTCATCAAATCTACCGAACTGGTTAGAAGAGGTTCCACCAGAAAGCAGACCACACCTACAGAAGAGGTTCCAAAAAATTTTGAAACCCACCACTGACACACAGACAGACAGACAGACAGACAGACAGACAGACTCACTCACACAGAGAGCGAAAGAGAAAGAAAGGAAGAAAGAAATAAAGAAAAAAGAAAAAAGAAAGAAAAAGTGAGAGAGAGATGAAAGAAAAAAAGGAAAAAGGGACAGAGAGACAAAAGGAGAGAGAGAGAGAGAGAGAGAGAGAGAGAGAGAGAGAGAGAGAACACATGGCCGGCAAGCCACTCCCACAAAGGAGGCCACACCCACAGAGTAGGTTCAAAAAAATTTTGAAACCCACCACTGTTCAGTACATAAGTTTGCTGGTTGTGAGCGCACGCACACTTTTTATCTCCTGGTTGGGGATTAAAAAAAGCTTCTAAAGCACAGCTGATCATCGGAGAGAGCATCAATGAGAAAAGTAGGCAAAGCAGGAAGTTTGCTTCATTCATAAGCGCCTCATTAGGACTGGAAAAAAGCTTTGGAAAAAATATATTCCAAATATTCAGCCTCTTTTAGAGGGGAAAAATTGTGTCTTATACTCTGAAAAATACAGTATATACCAGGGGTGGGTTGCTTCCGACATTACTGCCAGTTCGCTGGGCGCACACGGGCGTATTTGCACATAAATAGGTATGCGCATGCGCAAAACGTTAAAAAATCAAAAAAAGTTAAATTTGTGCAATGCAAATTGTTCTGTGCGTGCGAACAAACCAAAAATCAAGATGGTGGTGCTGTATGAGAACCGGTTCAGGGGCGTGGCAGGCCTGGGTCGCTGCCGGTTCCAGCAACCCAGGCCACTAAACCAGTACTGGTTCCGCCAAACTGGTCCAAATCGGTAGGAACCCAACACTGGTACATACAAAAGCAAGATATCTGGCCTTTTAACAATGTAGCAGGATGGGGGGTCTTTGGCACATGTAGTGCCCTAGTCTTGGGAGCATAACCAAGGTTTTTTTTTAGTAAATAATAATAAATGTACATGTTTTTCTTTAGCCAGTCTCCGAAGAATTTCAGAATGGGGAAAGCTTTGGATACATCGTGGCTTTCCGACCGAATGGAACAAGAGGCTGGAAAGAAAAAATGGTCACATCTTCGGATGCCTCCAAGTTCATCTACAGAGATGAAAGCGTGCCTCCCTTGACTCCCTTTGAGGTGAAAGTTGGAGCATATAACAACAAAGGCGATGGACCGTTCAGCCCAATTGTTGTGATCAGTTCTGCCGAGGGAGGTGAGTACACACCAATCCCAAAGATCAGCTGCATCTTCTAAGTCTTAGCCATATAGACCTTACCTATTGCAAAAGGGAAAGTGACGCCATGCAGAGCTCAAAGTCGCTTGCTGAATACTAGAAGGGTATTTGATGATGGAATCAAAGCATGGGTGAAAACAAATAGAATCAACGTTGGGCAATCTTGGTTGTTTTAATGTGTTTGCATTGCTGGAAGAAATATCCATCTGGTTCAGTTCCAAGCCGTTAGAAAGGCACCAGAGACAAAATGGAGGCTGATGGGAAAGATGGTTTAATGATGAAGCAGAACCACATGGGTGGTTTTGGGCAGCTGAACACATGGAGCTGAGAGCAGAGGGAGGATTTATGTCTTCTCTTGGGCTTTGCACTTGAGCTTCCTGTTCCTGCGCAAGAACGTGTACTCTATTGGCTGTTGTAGGGGTCATAGCTGGCTCTGCAGGTTGTCTGAGCTCCCAGGTTTGGTTGAAGTTTGGAGTGCTGAGAAGATGCGATGAAGAGGTTTGTGTTCTGAAAGGGTGTTAGGCAATTCCTACTAATGGCTTTGTGTTGGTTTGGATCTTGAGTGAGGCCCAATCCTATCACTCTGCCTTTGTTCAGACTTTGATACAGGGAATTTCAAAATATCCTGTCCTGAATTGATTTCTGCCTGCAGTATTTGCTTTGCCTATGAATAGAGCTATCTATCACCTTATCTCTTAAGTGCTGACATCTGCTGAGAGCTATTAAGAAAGGTGGGGGTTGCTTTCTGTCTCTCCCTTTAGGGAAATATAATATTCTGCCTTTTTAATATATCTCAAAATATTTCATTCTTCTAAGAGAGGGGTGAGTGTCAACTTTCTACAACATTAAATAATGTTTGTAGTCACAATAGAGCCAAGGTGGCACAGTGGTTAAATGCAGCACTGCAGGCTACTGCTAGATCAGCAGGTCAGCGGTTCAAATCTCACCGGCTCAGGGTTGACNTTCCTATTCAATTCCATATCTTCTCTCTTCTCTTCTCTTCTCTTCTCTTCTCTTCTCTTCTCTTCTCTTCTCTTCTCTTCTCTTCTCTTCTCTTCCCTTTCTCATTTATTCCTACTCCATTCCTATTCAATTCCATATCTTCTCTTCTTCTTCTCCTTCTAATTTATTCCTATTCCTATTCCATTCATATTCAATTCCATATCTTCTGTTCTCTGCTCATTCTCATTTGCATTTATTTCTATTTCTACTCTATTCCTATTCAATTCCATCTCTTCTCTTCTCTTTTCTTTCTCATTTATACCTATTCCATTCCGATTCAATTTCATATCTTCTCTTCTCCTTTTCCTAATTTATTCCTATTCCTATTCCATTCCTATTCAATTCCGAATCTTCTCTCTTCTGCTTTGCTTTTAGGTCGCAGAAAGTCAGGCCAAGTGAACTTTTGTGGACCTCAGATTTTGCTGACACAGGAGAAGACCTCATCCTTCCATCCCTTGGCTCTCAGCTTTCATTCCGTACCTGTGAGATGCTATTTTGTGTAGACTTAGAAATGTCAGCATGCCACTTTGGCTGATTGTCAAACCAAGTAGACTAGAATCCAGAGGTGAGGCTGTCAGGGGAAGTTGTACATCAGTGGAGGAAAGAAAGGTTTTTCTAGGTTAAGGATAGAAAGGTTGGGTTGGATGGCTTTAGGCTACTGTGGGCTTGCAGGTTCCGTTCATACAACCCACCAAAAACTACATAAAGAAAACCCAGTTGCTGGAGCCACACATGCTCAAAGAAATAAACCCTATTATGGAAGAACATGATGGTCTGGTTCACACAGCATCCTAAGAAAAGGGCTGAAAAACATCTTGGATTACAAATTACCCAACACCTGTTTTTGCAATCTCTCAGTTTTCCTGAGTCATCTGAATTTTTGTTGTTGTTAATCTGGGTTTAGGGTACAGCCTCAAGCAGTGCTGACTTGCATAAGGTTGAGCTAATTATGCCACACATTAAATGGATTTTATGTTCCATAATAAAAAAGATATGGTGGCTCAGTGGCTAAGATGCTGAGCTTGTCAATCAGAAAGGTCAGCAGTTCGAATCCCTAGTGCTGTGTAACAGAGTGAGCCCCCGTGACTTGTCCCACCTTCTGCCAACCTAGCAGTTCGAAAGCATATAAAAATGCAAGTAGAAAAATAGGGACCACCTTTGGTGGGAAGGTAACAGTGTTCCATGCACCTTCAGCATTTACTCATGCTGGCCACATGACCATGGAGACGTCTTCGGACAGCGCTGGCTCTTTGGCTTTGAAATGGAGATGAGCACTGTCCCCTAGAGTCAGGAATGACTAGCATATATGTGCAAGAGAAACCTTTACCAAGTTCCATTAATAGGGCTGCCAAATTCCCGGCCCACGAGCCAGATGCATCACATGCTGGCCACGCCCACACCATGTTTAGCGAAGGGGATGGAAAAGTCCTGATACACCACATGATGACACCATGATGATGTGAGTTTGACACCCCTATTCTATAAGATGCTTCTCTGGTAGTGAACTGTTTCTTGCAGTGTGTGTTACTAGGATGAAGTCATAAAGATTCCACAACATCAACTTCCATTAAGGTATTACAATATTGCGCTTTTCTGTTATGTGTCAGGAACTGTTTTAATTTTCAATCCCTCTTGCCAGCACACAGGGAGGGGGTCAGCAATAGAAAGGACTGGCTATGACTTCAACCTGTTTAAGGTATTGATATCCCTCCTTGTTCCACCACAGATTCTTAATTGTATTTTCCTCTTAAAGAGTACAAGTATTAAAGCCGTGGAGATGTCTCTTTTAGGTTGCTGGGGAGGCTAAAATCCTAGCTGCCAGAGGGCTGATGGAATCATCTGAAATTGTGTGTGACTGGCACACACAGCTGGAGTGAGTCAACTGGGAGGAAGTCCATTTCTAGTCCAACAAAGCCACTGTCTCTGAGAAGGACAGATCACAGTTGAGCTTCTGGTAGCTGTTCAACCTCATCTCCCTTGATCTTCTGCTGACTTGATTAATGGTTAGGGCTTATGGGAAATTAATTTCAGGAGCATCCATTATGTCATGGGTCGTTGGCAACCTTAAACTCTCAAAGAACCACAAAGGTCTTAACCGGAAGCCCCCTGTTCAATTCTGGAGCCCACCAGAGGTCTGGTTCTCCCACCATAGAGTCTCCTCCTAGTGTGGCATCCTTTTTCCTCTGACAAACAGAAGTCCAGTTCTCCCATCATAGAGTCTCTTCCTAGCACAGCATCCTTTTTCCTCTACCTGTCCTAACCAAAAGCTCTATTAATTGTGGAGCTGACCGGCAACAGGGAGCCGCAGCAGATGGATGAAAGAGCCACATGCGCCTCCAGAGCCATGGGTTGCCCACTCCTGCAGTAAGTGGACAATTGGTTACCTGTTGAGATGCATCCATTATCTTTCTTTGATCTGAAGGGGTCTGTCCATAGTTGCTGATGGAACTGCCATCTTTGAAGTTTTGAAAGCCTTCCCCAACCCCATTCCTGAGATGAAAAAAAATAAAATAAAACCAAAACTTTTGTGTGAACTTTTTTGTGAAAGGGGAAAAGAAGCTCTCCAGGCTAATTGAATAAAACATAATATGCTTGCTATAAATTAAAGGCCGAAGAAAGGAAAGTGAGAGACAACTTGAGTGATCAACTCCTGCCTTTAGGCTCCCAGGCCATTCTGTCATTGCCACTTCTCTGCCCTAAGCTCTTCAGTGAGCAGAGTGCTTCTACCTGCACGCCTTGATCACACCATGGGGATCTTGAGTTGCCTAGGCTTTTTTCTTTTTTGCCCATTATTTTTCCCCACCTCTAGGATATACGGCTCAAATCTCAATGCACTCTGCCAAATGCATCGGAGTGAAGAGATGTTGGAAATCAAGAGTTATGCCTTCCTTTCACACATTAAGAGTTTCTCTGGCTGTTTTCCCCTCCCCTGTGCTTTTCAAAGCACTGACAGGGTTAGGCAGGTGTCAGCACCAAATGCTTCATGCTTTTTTCCCCACCTCGCCTAACAGGCATGGAAGCTTTTCTTCCATACCTGTGAGAAAGAGAGAGGCAGGCTGCATTGTGGCTTTGCAAAGTTGGGATAAACTAGGTCACAAGTTTTAGCAAGTCCGCGGAGACTCGCCGGGTACTTAATAACGAGTGTGTGGATATATCTCGAGAAGGATTTTTTTTTTTTTGCAGAAGTTAGCCCTTCTGTCTTGGCAGTGTAGGGACATCTATATCAATATGAGAAATAAATAAACAAAATCTACCACGGGGAAGATGAAAAAACATTTCTATGGTAATGTAATAGCAGTACAGAAGGCAATACAAAACCAGCATAAGGCAGTGTTCTTAGGAAAATTGTCAGCCTCCAACAGGAGGCAACCTTTTTTTTTTTAAAAAAAAGAAGAAATTGAGTTGATTTAAATTATTTTCTTTTCTTTGCTTGCAAAAGTAGAGGGAGGAGGGAAAAAAATCCTAGAAGGTGATGGCAAGATGCCAGTTTCTCTTCCTTCTGATTTGCTTCCAACCGGCAAGGCTTTAGAAATTGTCAGAGCAATCCGACCTCACGTATGGATAGCACTGCCAAGTGCTTAACTAAAGCTATTTAACTTTTTTTCCCAAAAAAAATAAAATAACAATAATCAGAGCCATTAAATTGCCGCAGTATAAAATTAAAGAACAGCTTGCTTTCTAGCTTAGTTCAGCCTGAGTCAGAAATCTCTGAATCTGTCCATATTGCTTTCTTCCAAGTTATTTTTTTTTCCCCCAGTCTCCTTTGATGGAGGATGAGAGACATATTTTGGCAAGTTCTGATTTTAAAAATTGAGTGAAAATTTTATGCATTTGCCACTGCCAAATTCAATATATATTCAACATAAGGAAGCCCTCCGTATCATTTCCTGCCATATTATTATTTGAGATAAGAAACTTGTCAGAAACAACAACAACAATAACAGGTGTTAAGTGAAATTCAAGACGACAAACATGGTTACCTGTATAGAAATGAAAATACTGGGTTCTTTTTTAAATGCACTAAGCACTCAATATTCTCTGCTTGCATTGACATATCAATCAGCTTTTATTTCTCATTCATTCAAAAGATAGGGAAAGATTGATGTATGAAATCTTCACTTCTCTTTGTCCCGTGTACAGAGACATGTGCAAAGACCGATAAACTATTTTTAAGGAAAAAGAAGAAAGAAAACGAAAGATTCTTTTTTTAATCTTGAAAGAGGTAAAAATGGCTTGGCTCCTAAGGTATCTTCAAGACTATCTTTTTTTCCAATTTGGACTAAATGGTCTTATTGGTTCATCTTATGTGAAGATGCTTAAGGTTTCTCACCTATATGAAGTAAGAGGAGTACAAGCACACAGACACTGCTTTTATTTTGGTAAGAAAAGATAAGAGATAAGATNTTTGCTGCCAAGGACCTGTCTGTCTGTTAATTAAATGCCGTAACTTATCTTTGGCTCGGAGTGTGTGTTGGTGTAGGACGAGGGGAGAACAGGTATCCATACAACTTGCAAAACTACAGCAATACAGAGCACGTTCTATTTTACCATTATGAAATGAATGGGACTTCAGTTAACAACTATGACGTCTCATTAAAAGCAATACAGTGCCATGTCGAACTGAAGTCCTGCTGATTTCAACACAACATGCTTTTTTTTTCCAAACAAGTAACCTTTAAACATGTGAAGAAGCAGTAAAGTGAAATGCTGGGAAAAGGAGCCACACATTTACCCTCTTCATTTCTCTAAGATCTTTCCGGATTTAACCAATCTGTGGCAGAAACGAAGGATATCAAAATCCGGTGATTTTGATATCACAATAGCAATACAGTTAGACTTATATACCGCTTCACAGTGCTTTACAGCCCTCTCTAAGAGTCAGCCTATCTTCCCCAACAATTTGGGTCCTCATTTTACCCACCTCGGAAGGACGGAAGCTGAGTGAACCTTGAGCCTGGGGAGATTTGAACTGTTAAATTGCAGTCTGCTGGCAGTCAGCAGAAGTAGCTTGCAGTACTGCACTCTAACCACTGTGCCACCATTGCTCATGTAGTACCCTGCCTTCATCCAGTTCCACCCAATGTAAACACTGCCACTTTTCTGCACGCGTACAACATTAAACATGTACAAAAAGGTTTGGGAATTGTATTGCAACATCTTTATACCACTATCCTGCAGACTTCGACTATTTCCTTATGAAGACCTCTGCCAGAGGAATCCTGCCAATACTCATTTTTTTTCTCCTTGATGCTATCCTCAAAGCATCCATTACTTCTTACCTCTGTCAGTTTCCCATCATCTCCACCAACCAGCCTCCTCTTCACACTCAATTTACTTGGGAGGGAGGCATCTGGGTGGAACTGGATGAAGGCGAGGTATCACATTATAAGCCTCTTACTTAATATAAGCTGTGAAATTTCTACAACTTCCGATTTTGGAGCTTCGGCACTGGGAACTATCCCTGTGAGTTACAGAAATTTTC